TATTTCATTTCCTGCAGGATTTTGACTCCTTCCAGTTGCTGTTCTTCAATGAAACTACATACTGTCTTTGAGAAGAGTACATACATTTTATTTTTCATTATCCTTTTCTCTTTTATAGAATCCTGTCAGGTGCCTGGTGGTGCCTCCCAGGGTATTCTTATATCCTAAAATCTGCATCAGACCAGAGGTAACAGAAGGCAAGCAAAACCATCTGTCCTAGATCTACCAGTGCTCATGTTGAGATAGGGTGTTCTGCAAGACCACTAGAGGTATCTTTGTGATATTAAAATTACTCAATTGCCTGATCCAGATCATACCATTCCCTGGACTATTATGGAAAAAGCTAGCACCAAGGAAGTGACTACCTACTTCTCTGGCTTTCGTTTGCTGCCTTTTAAAAATAGGATTTTGTAGTCACACATTGCACTGTCTTTGCTGGCAGGCATCTGATGGGGACCCAGGAACTTCTCTGGGTCTCTCTAATATGAATTCTCTCCCTCTTCTTCAAGTGGAGCATGGAAGATCCTTACCACTTAGTAATTCCTAGCCATTGGGGTGGTGGATCTTTAAGTGTTACTGACTGATTGTGTCCAGTGCAAGTCAGTAGAAAGTAGGGGTGGCATTGTCTGTGTAGTGCAGGTCACCCATGAAACAGCTAATGTGCCCTCTTCCTGCAATGGGAAGTGCTTGTCATCCCTGTCCACCACTTGTACATGAGTGCTGAGTTGGTCATGATAAAATTCATTCCATCCTTGTGACACTTGGAATTCTTTTACCTTTCCGTCTATTTCCTCCTGGGAAAAGATTATATCCTAGTCGAGATGAGATGCAGTTTTACTCTTAGTCCAATTTTTATACTTCTTCTTCTCTTTGGCCACCCCTTTTATTTTATTATTCCACTGGGGATAGTTCTTCTACATAGTTCTTGTTGCTGTTGCCTCTACATTTCTCTGTATCACACATTTCCTTTGTGGAGCCTAGGATTGTTGTTTTAAAGTACACCCATTCCACTTTCACCTTTCATTCAGAAGTTTACTGTAATCTTTGTTTATTTAGGCTTCCTTTTTTGGATGTCTTCATCTTTCAGTCAGTTTAATTTAATAACATATTCTCTGTATATTTTCTGCTTTGTTCTCAATGTTGGTGTTTTGATGTTTATTCATAGTAACACCATTTTATGGTATATGTCTGTTATTGTATTTGGTATTGCACTTGAATCTGTTATACTTCTTCTGCAGATTCTTCTTGCCAGTATTAAGTCAATCGTGCTTTTGAAATTCATATCATTCCACTAATACCAGTGTATACTTGTGAGTTTCTATGTTGGAAAAATATATTCGTAATGAATAAGTTATGCTGGCTACATAGTCACAGTAATCTGCTTCCATTTTTATTTCATCTTCCCCATTGATTTCCAAAGGAGCCCAAGTAGTCTTTGAGTTAGCTTCTTTCCTAGTTTTCCAGTAAAATCACCCAATTCATAAAGAATATCTTCTACTTTTACTTTAGAAATTTCATCATGCAGACTTTCGAAGAATTAGTCATTTTCTTTGTTGGTGCTGTTATTACATGATGCATAGATCTGATGGTAAGTTATTCTTTCATTAATCCATTGTATTCTAGTTTTGGTTATTCTCCTACAGATATGTTCATTCTCTAGTATTATTTTTGGCTGTGTCTGGGTCAATTATGAACCCAACTCCATGTTTAGCTTCTTCATCTACATTTACTCCAGAATAACTGAGCATGTAGTTTTGGTGTAGTTTCCTGGTGATGTTGTTTTTGAGCCTTGTATCTGCTAACTCAATTATTTTTGTTTTTCATACCTTCATCATTTCAACTATTTTTTCACCTTAGTTGCCCAAGCCATATTTCTTGAGTGTTGCATTGCTTGATTTTGCTTTCTTGCATCATACATTGTCTTTTGTACTCACCTTGTCATTTTCCATTTATATCCATTTGTTTGTGTCTCTTTGGTTTCTTTTAGCAAGATGTAATTCACCACTGGCTTGCTAGGCCTGTTGCAGCTTCTCTAGAGCCCATTAGCCAGACTTTTTTCAGAGTGACCCAGGTTGTCCTTTATGGTTACCTTCGTGGTTTTGAGGGTTAAACCCACACCATACTTCTCTTGAGCCCAGCAATCCCCTATTTCGGCCTGTTGCCATCTCTCATGATGAGGACAAGGGGTTAGACTTTGGGAGATAACATTCTATTTTGCTTTAGCAATATCTATATTATATACTAGTGAACCTGTGGGCCATAGGCCCACATTTACAGAGCTACTATAATGCAAACTTAATGATTGAACCACTATTTTGCACATTTTCAGTTTAATGATCATTGCTGCTATAACACAAACTTAATATCTTTAACTAAGTTATGAACAGTTATTAGTAGGTCAATTTATTTATGTACTCTGATGTAAATCAGTGCCAAATTTGGGGGCTGCTTTCGAGGAATCCCTGTAAAAGTTTTTTCGTAAAATATCCAGGTTCCCTAAAGGTTTCAGTGAAAAGTTTTTACCTATGTGCAAACCTCAGGGCCAAGGTTATTCATATGGCGTTACTTAGAAGTTGGTGAGTCCATCATTTTACAAAAAAAGAGTTACTCAGAACATCATACAGAGGTGATTAGAAAGAAAAGAAAATGTGGATTTTGATGTAAAGAGGTATCACATGAACTGTTAATCATTGTTTGAAAAAATATTTAAATATTTCCTGTTGAAATTAACAAATCAAAACTTATATAATATTAAAATTTGAATTATAAACTATGTTTTATTGGCAAGTTTATTGGTATACATTGATATTAAAGTATTTTAATTAAGTTTTGAATGTAGCTCTATGTAAAAGGTTGTGACACGTACATTTCTACACACCTGTATGGTGAGATTTAAGTAGGACAAGGCTTTACTATATGAAGTAATGGAATTACATTCTTTATGGTTGGTAGTATTAGAATTGGTGAAAGGTTGAGGCTAATACATGTATTAAACTTACTAAAAGAGCATAATTTCATTTTAGCTTTGCATAAAAAATGAAGATTATTTCTTTCAATCACTTGTTCTTAAACTGAAGTTTGTCAGTACTACCATTCATGGCACTAAATTACTTTCACCTTTTGTCCCTTCTCTTATGTAATGTTTGTTTAATTAATCATTTCATATTACCAGGTTTATGCATTTTTTTTCTTAGTAAACCAAAATGCCAATTGTATTTCAAAATTCCCATGAAACTCCATCAAGTTATTTCTTTCAAATTTTTCACAAGTTCCTTACATTTTTTGTATAAACTAATAAGGATAAATAGTCTTTCACCATGTCTACTTTTTATAGTTATAAATGTGTTTGGATACTATCAAATAGAGAAAGTGTTGAAACAGAAATTTGACTGTGGTGCTACTCTGTAGTTACAAAGTGCTGTTTTGAAAATGCTGATTATATTTCACCATTTTCTTACTACATGAATCATATTTTTTTCACTATAACACCTTCAAGCTAAAAAATTGTTTTCTAATGTGATATTCTAAAGATGTTATGAACTTCTGAGTGAAAGTGATGAAAAATGTATAATAATATGTCAACCACACCATTGCGCCAAAGGGGCATTTTGCCTAATACCAGGGCTCTTCGGGTTGGTTGAGATATGACGGGTATGATAGTGGTCAACACACTATTTATATTAGAAAATTGCTTGAACACAACTGTTACAGTGTGAATTCCCTTTTTAAGTTAGTGAAGTGTAATCATGATCAGATTTATTTATGTTATGATACATCAGAATTAGAAATGAATGTGCTTGAAAATAGCAAAACTGTAGCTGACCAATCAGAAAACTGGGTTGTATGAATCCAAAAATACTTGTTCTATGTGCTAGCTGCAGAGCAGTCTCATAGACACAAGGTAAATAGAGACACAGCACAACTATCCCAGCCACAAAACAGTAGCTAGTTTTCATGATCAGACCTGCTAAAGAAAATAACACCTGAGGTTGAATTTAGCAAATGAGTTCAATATTCACTATTTTCTGAATTAGTTTTTTAAGAATAACATCTTTTTCAAATATGAAATATACAACAGCAGAGTGAGATGTGTCAAATTTGCATACCACATCAGTATTTGACCCATATTTCCTTTATGCAATTTTTTCTATTAAAAAAATCAGACATTTGATCATCTTATGTACCTTTTGTTATATAAGGTAGAGGGTATTTTGGAAATCTTTTTCCTCCTAGTGTGTAATGTGAGAGAATCCATGCACTCTCCTTGGCAGCCTGAAATAACTTTTTACAATTTTTGAAGTAAATATTTTCATACTGGGTTATAAAAGCTTGACTGCATGATGACGCAAATTGGAGCATATGCATAGATACTTAAATCAGAAAATGTGTACTCCCAAAAATGTACATAAAAAAAGATTCTCCATAAGTGGGCTACCAGTCCACTAGTTAGCCTATCATAAAACTTGAAGTCAGTCTGTCAAGCATTTTTATGTCTATACTCCTGTAGATTTGTAAATGTTTTAAGTTATGCCTTTATTTAGCAAGATGACTCTGTGATAACATTTATCCTCTCACTTGGAACATTCCTTTTGATAGTGTGCATGGTTGTCTTAGCAATCATCTGTTGCTTATAATACTAAAATCTAACTCAGAATTATCATTTTAATGGCAAAATTGGACTTGTAAAAGATATTTATCTGAGCACCTTTCTGCTGTGATTTCTCATTTAAAGGGCATTTTTACAGTGTAAAAACTGAAGGTTAAAGCTAGGTTTAAGAGCTTTACCACTTTTGCTTTGTATGTTTTGGACCAATCCTCTCTGCACCGAAATTATATATTTCATAAATGTTCTTCATTCTGAAGATCTGTTAGCATTCAGTGCTGAAACACATAAATATATTTTTTAATTTGTATTTTTAAGAAACATTTTATTATTAATGCAGTAAGTATTAGTTGAACAAAATTTACTTTATAGGTTTTGTTTGTCTTTATGTTTGTAGATAAAGTTATTGCAGAAATGATTCCAAGCAGTGCCTTCTATACAAGTACTTATAGTGTCTGTCATCAGTCTATTACAGTGTATTGCAGAGGTACGTGTATATAAATGTGTTTCATTTTATTTATCCTTTGGAATTACATTGGGTCAATGATATTGAAGCTGAGGATAGTGCCTATTATGAAAAACTGCTTAAAAAACAAATGACACAATCATTGTGTTGTGAAGAGTAAATAAAAATATACAAAGTATCAGAATGTCATGTTCCAAAGTATCTCAGGCAAACACGAAAGAGATAAAAATTGCAGTTTTCTATTTTTCGTTTCTTGTTATAATTTAATAGTTAAATGTGACATAACTACTGACATTTAGTTTTCACAGGTTAAAATCTTCACATATATAAATTATAAAGGCAATAGTATGCAACAATTGCATGGCCCGACCTTCCTCCCAGAAACTTTTATTTTGAGAAATTATTTTACTACTAGCCAAATACTCTTTGGTATTAATGAGTTTTTAGTTGCTTCAAGTTTTTAATAATCAATCACACATTACTTAAAACTGTTTTCAGTTCTTTGATACACTTGGGGATCTAGATATTATACATCCTATTGCCACTGTCAGCTTTTAATTGCAACTTAAAGCCATTGTTTAAAACACCCACTGTATTAAGTGAAAACATGTAAAAAATATTTAAGTTACAGAACCACAATATATTTTAAAACTAGTGACAGGAAACAGCTTACCAAAAATATCTTAATTATCTGATAAGTTAAAATAAGCATGTTTGGATGCATGAAACCTGTGAAATGTGGTTTTATATATGTTACGTTAATTTGTAGAAACTGATACCGTGAATACAATTCAAAATCTTTGAAATATTTTTCTTAGTGCCCTGTTATTTTCCACAAGCTATTTTGGATTACTAATAAATACTCAGTTTAAATTTTATAATCCATGACACTGTTAGCTTGATTTCGTCTTATAGTTAAAGGATGCAGTGTTTTCAGTTGCTGTGTAAAAATTTTGTTTTGAGTTAAATCTATATTTTAATCAGTCTTATAAAATGACTGAAGCTAATTGTTTTCTGAAGTAATATTTTAATTCTAGTTTTCATTGACTTATAAAATAATTGTATTTATGGTTAATAAATAGATGAACTAACAGAAAATATACTGCTGGGCAGGAAGTACTCTGTGATTGGCATTCCTTTTACAAGGAAGATTGGATCCAGTATTTTTGTTTTAATGGAGGTTAGTTGGCTGTGGCTCAGATACAAGAAATCATAATGTTTAGTCTCTTTTTTTTAAAAAAAAAAGTATGATAGATATAACTAATTTTTGTGTATTAACATAAATACCACCAAGAAATTGCTTCAAACATGTATTATTTTTAAATTTCTTCAGTACATAATACATAATAACCTTGTAAGTAAGTGAACTTTCTAAACATATAGATAAAGAAACTTCCCAAACTTAAGCCGCCCCCAATGGCACAGCAGTATGTCTGCAGACTTACAACACTAGAATCTGGGTTTCGATACCCATGGTGGGCAGATCACAGATAGCCCATTGTGTTGCTTTGTGTTTAACTTCAAACAAACAAAATTAAGCCCATAAGAACTTACAATACCAATAAGCCCCATGTTAAGATTCTGATTTGAAAAATGTTAACCTTCAACTGTTGTTCAAGGTTTCATATATATATTTTTAATCGAAATATCTAGTTAACTTCTGGATTGACTTTGTCATTGGACAAACAACCGTGAAAGCTGTCTTGTACATGTAGGTTTCTGATAGGGTATTATAAGTCTGCTCACATAATACCTTCTCTTGTTCAGTGCTGCTCTTTGTATGCACAAATATTTAGCATGTCACTAGCCTTGAAACACCTACCTTCCTTATGTTCAATGTAGTTCTACTGCATCTTCGCATGTGAATAATTATGTGACAACCCTCCACCAGTAGGAGAGTGACACACTTTCCTGGTGCAGGTTACTCCCTGTATATGATTCTGCCTAACCTTCACTTCTCGTTTAGTCACTGTCATGTTTGAACATTACATAAATTTGCTCATCTTTTAAAAATTCAAACTTGCCTTTTTGCTTTGTTTCTCGAAGTAGTAGTTTATTTTTGAAGTCATTAAGCATTTCACTTATAGTTTTGAGTAAAAGTAAACTTAACTGTTTTTTCTTTATTTTTTGTGGAATTATCACAGTTCAACCATGAATTCTGAATTTTATGCACAGATTCCACTGTTGTGACTACTACTACTTCATCCGTCCTTTCTCAGGCTTCAGGTTCTACACTTTTGGCTGAGGAGGTCTCGGGCTTAGTTCAACAGGAGCTTGAACCCTGCATGATATAGCCAGCTTCTTCCAAACCTGGACAAGATCTTCTCTTCTAGAGGAATCTGCATAGTTTTGATAACGAAGATTTGGAGAGCCTTTTTCCTCCTCCATTTTATGCCAGGCAATCCCGTCTGTCACTTGTGGAAGCTGCCAGGCCTCCCTCAGTCTTTTTGGACGTAATTGCACAAGTATGTTATCCTTTCGTCTGTGTCCTTCATCTGGTAAGAACCTCCTTCTTCCCTTTTACATATTGCTCCTTCATGAGAATACCTTGTTCCCCCACTCCCTCCTCTGGATATCAGGGTCCATGCTGACAAGTTCCAGGCACAGTTATGTGCAGGATCTAGCATGCCTCATCCCTCTAGATCTTTGGGTTTTTTACTTTGGCTTATCACCAAGCAAATGTTCCTTTTCTAGGCTTTGATGCAAGTATGGGGACCAATCATGATTCTCCAGTTAGGTTTTCCCAAACCCATTTTTTCCAGATTCCAGCTGATCCTAACCTGTATCCTTAGATACCTGTCTACCATGCACCTCCCAGCTGAAGTTATTGACTGATACCCAGCAGGGTTTTCAGAGGAAACACAACCTCATATTTCCCACGTTGGTGCATTTATCCTCAGCCCTATCCATCCAAACATTGCTCCTTTGCTACTGGGATCCCCTGGGTAGGGATGCACTTTTGTCTCAGGTGTGCTTATCCTCAACCTATCTATGTGATCTCAGAATGGTACCACTCTTACGCAGATCTATTTTTGGAGCATCCCCAGAGTCAAGAGTGGAGTCTGTGTGACAATATTTCTCTGGTTGGGACCCCTCACCTTATCATCATCTGGATGTTGGTTCCTGGATAATAAGTTTTGGATTAGAGCTGGATCAGCCAACATAAGTTCTCATGCATGTGTTGGTTGGGAGCCCTCGTCCTACCATGGACATGATGTACTAGTTTGTCGGGGTACCCCTAGTGTACCTCTTCCATCAATCTGAGGCTTGGGAGTTTGGTATTGCTAGGAGCTGGACTGACTGACAGGTATTCTGGCTGGTTGGGGTACACCTGGCATACCACTTGCAGTTTGAGACTTGTAAGTTCTGGTAGCATATAGAGCTAGACCGGGAAACAGAAATCTGATTTGTTTTAGATTTGAGTGAACCACCACATAGACACTTCCCTTCCTACTATCGTTCAGATGTCAGGTTCTCAAGTGGGGTGATGGTTGAGGATTTGTGCACATTGGCCCTGTCTAGTCAGATGGAGGTGAAGATGGTAAAGACTCTCCTCCTACTGCAGACCAGATGATAAATATCCAATGCCGCCTGGTTTTAGACTGGAGTTGATCCACCGAGTACAATCTGACACACCCTAACCATTCTACACTGTGGAGCACATCTGTTTATTTCCCCCCTCCATTACTATATTTGGTTGGTAACCCTCCATCCTGCAATCTCCTGGATGTCAATTCCCTGGGGTTTGTGTTGGGTGTTGAGCCGAATTAACCAACATTTATACATTCTGCCCAATTATGTGACTCTTACTACCACAATGGGTGAAGAGTATACCTGGGACAGAAGTAGTGCAGTCATCCACAGAAGAGAGTTTCTCTTACAAGAGTGGTAACATTACATGGGCATTCTTCGGATGCTTTCCAAAAATATTAACTTGCAGTGTGTTAAAATAGAATATTTTAATACCTTAAAAAGATATTATTCTAAAGCATTAACCTTATTATAAAATCATAATAGATATACTTGAGAACACATATTTTCCTAATAAAGAAAACAATAATATAAAGTATGCACAAGCACCAAAAGTACTAGATTAATCTATAATATACTGTAGGTATATACAGCAGCTATTGCCCATCATCATATTGAACTTCTTTCTAGATGGATTGAAAATAGTATTAAAATAATTAATCATTATTAAATTCTTATCTTAATTTTTCTAGTAAAAATAGTCAGAAAAGACAAGGATTTTAGTAATTTAGCCAATTAACGGTGTACTTGGAGTAAGAAGTTATATTTTGATTAAACTCTTCTCATAGAACTATTTTATTACATGTGTAAATAGCTATAAAAACCAGATAAAAAGCAAAGTTTTTTTTATTTTTTGGTTTTAAAAAATATATGAACTACTTATCTGTAGGCTTAAAAACTAACAATATTCAAAATCATTTGGAAAAGGTTGCTTAACCTCAACAAAGAATCTAGGATGTGGGTATATATATGTATACAGTTTTTGCATTCAATGTGAAAATATTAAATTGAACATTTACTAACAATTGACTTTCTCTAACAAAATTATTATTTTAAAATGTGTCTGTTTCTACTAAAACAAATCAAGTAGTTATGATTTTGTTTATATTAAGTTAGTTTGGAAAAGATGTTGGTTATGTTTGTTTATACTGACTTTACTTGTCATATGATAATTGTTGCACAAACTAACTCATTTTTTGAAATGTATATTATGTTCAGTCATGCAACAAACAGTGTGTTACTGGCAAATACTGCCAAGATATAATCATGAAACCCAAGAGGTATGTTAATGCTTTTCATATTAATTTATAGATATATATTTAAAAACTATTAATATGTTATTCAAAAGTTTTGAATATTTACTTACAGGCAAACAATATGGAGCTTATTGAGGTATGAGTTTCAGTTAAGAGTGGATGGCAAACAATAATTTTAAATTGTCTTTATAGATTTTCGTTTATAAGTATTGTAACTGAATTAATCACAATAGCTATTTCTTAAAGATTACTTTGAAAGTAATTCACTGACACATTATTTCAACATAAATGTTATTACTTTGTTAGGCTGCTTATATTTTAAATATTGGATTAAATATTTATAAGTATGTGAATATGTTGTATTTGCATGTGTGTTCTTGGTTAAAATCACTGCACACATTTTATTGTTTTCTCATAATTATATATACATTTTTACGTTTATATATGTGATTTTAATATTTTGTAGAATGTACCATATAATGTACCATCATCAATTCACAATTTGCCCCCACCACTTATGGAACTTTATAATGGTCAGTCTTTAAAATACTATAACTTTTTTGAATTCTAAGCTTGACATTGCCTTATAGCAATTACTAATTGAAAATACTTAATTATGATGAAAATTGTAAAAAAAAACAAAATTATAATTAATTATGCATGTTTTTAACAGTTTACTGTTTAGTTAACACCATTTTATTATAAAATAATCTTTGAATATTGAAATACTTTTGTGAATCAAAAAGTTTAGACTTGTAGTTACTACATATTAAACCACTAAACTTCGAATCTTTATTGAATTATAACCAAAATTGACTGTTTTGGCTGGACATTTTTTTTTTTAAGTCTGGACATCTAATTTGATTTTCATTCTTACAGTTATTCAACTTTGAAAGATTTTTCGATGACATACATAACTTATTGTGTGTATGTTTAAATAAACTGGGGATATAGGCTACCTACAAATTTATCTGTGGATTATGTGTATTCATTCCTCTTTAATTGAAACTTGGAAAATTCATACCATATGCCATAGCATATTGTTGTAAGCTATATTTTCAGGGTTATAATTTAGTTCTTTAGTGATAACGATGCATTACTTAGAATGTTTGTGGGTGTTAAGAATCAAGAAACTTTGTGAAATATCTAGAAATAAGGATACGTTATAAATATGAGTAAAAGAAGTCAATGAGTGTTTCATTTTAGTGTTAGACAGTAAGTGTTATTGCATCTATTTTGCAATCTAGTCATTTGATGAGCATTACACTGTGTCATTAAGCTACATTACTTATGACTGTTTTTTAATTTCTTGAAAAAAATTGGTCTGATTGAATGTGTGAAAATTAATTATGAACTTGAGAGTTTCTCCGAAACTGTTTAGGAATTATTAAAAAAATGGATATCTCTGTTAGCCATAAAAATATGCAAGTTCAAACCAAATAGGCATTATTATGAAATGTTATTTGAAACTTATTTCAGGTTTTAGAACTTTTTTATTTAATAAAGGTGAAATTAAGCTTGTAACCAGTTATAAGGAATCAATTTTAAATAAGCAAAAAAAAGTTAATAAGAAACACGCAGTTCATTTTCTATATTTTTTCATTGACTTTTGAGCAGTGTATAAACCATGGTGTATGTAGATACCATCTCCTAGTCTTTCATATCTACAAATGTTTTAGAGTTCTAGTTCAGAACACTGACAATTTGGTTGAGGTTGTAAGTTAATTCAACCCTTGGTGTTACTTTCTGTAGCATGATTCAGGTAATGGGCTATCTACTGTCTCATGGGACAGTTATTTTATGTATAGTGTATAAGAATACTTTATGGCTGTCACAAGGAGCAATATACCTATAATTGATCAGTTACAGGATCAAGAAAACAGTTTGGCATTTTTCAGATTCACTTTTACTTGAAAGAGTCAAGACTAACTTGCTGTATAAATTCCATTGATTTGTGTATTTTATGCTAGTTAACTTACTGATCATGTTTGTAATATCCTTCACCAGCCAAACCTTTATGAAATAAAGTTCATTTTTATTTTGTTAAATACAATTTTCCAAGTTCATTTCATTATTTTATCTTATTCAACAATTAACAATACTGACTTCTTCCACTGGATGACCAGTCAGTATTTCTTTAATCCACCCATTTTTTTGTAAATAAAATGTTAATTTTTAGTTTTGTTTTGACTTAGTCGTTTCTCTATTTTTGCATCTGTAACAAATCAATCTATATGTTCTTCAAAAGATCACATTCACGAACCTCTTGTTGTAATATTCGGGTAACTGTGTGCTTATATAGTCCATCCTTAACTTTGGAATACCATAATCTGTTACATAGTTATGTTAAAATTTCAATAAAATTAAGTTATTTTGGGTTTTAAGTTTGACCTTCTATATTTTTAGACCAACCATACATGTATCTCATAAACTACTGTTGTAGTATGCAAGTACCATATATTTCACACTTCTGTGGTATTTTTAGGTTAAATTGGCTTCTGTTAGAGTGACAAAGTAGGTCTGAAGAATAACAGGAGATTCCGAAATGATACCTCACCTCTTCATACAGAATAGCTATGTTCCTTGCATGTCTGTCTATGAGATTTGCATGCCACTAGCTTTAAGCTAACTCCTACCTAAAATTTGTGTGTATAACATGAACTGTGCTGGTGCAATAGGAGTGTAACATAACCTCCATGTGCAGTAGCTCCTCTTAAGTGCTTGAAATAACTTTATTCTTTTCCTCTGCATTATCTTGAATAGATGTGTTAATTTTTCATGTCTATGTTCAATTTACTGAGATATGTGAATGTCAATGAAACTTACATTTTTGTTCTGTTTTTTCTTTTGTTTCAAAAGCATTGTTTAATATAATGCATTCTTAAGTGATGATGGCTTCTAATTTTGTCCTTCAAGAATAAATGAGCTACAAACACAGGACCTGTTTCTACACTGGCTTCTGGAGGATTGTTCACTATCGGAGAAGCAACAGCCATTGTATGGTGCATTGTGGGTTCCCTCATGCATATTGGGCTTCCTTCCCCATCCCTTAGGCTGATGTCCTCTTTCTTCTGTTTGTAAATGACCAGGAGGACAATGAATTTAACTGACTGCCCCCCCCCCCCCACCTGGGTTTACTAAGGATACCGCCTTACTGGTCGGGGAAAATTCTCAACTTTCCAATTTGTATAGATGTGATTTCTCAAGTATTTTCCTTTAGCCTGTCTTCTGATTCTTCCCATACTTTACTCCATGGAATCAGTTCTTGGGATTATTTGATCTTTCCTCCTTCACCTAATATTAGGGTTTATGCTGATTCCTTTCTTCAACAACTCTACATTCATACTCGCATGCCTCATCCCCTTGTTCTGACTACCAGCCATTCCTTTTCTTTTCTAGATTCCCACCCTATGGAATATCTTAATTTTTTCCAGATTTAAAAGTGGCTTTCTTGTCCTCTTATTTCATTCTGTTGTTCCCTGTTTTGTGTCTCTTTTCTTTTTTTCACCACCATCCTACATTCCCTCTCCTTCCTCCACCTTTTGTCTGAGACACTTCTTTATGTTCCAGAGGGATTTTTTGGAGAGGTTTGTTTCTTTCTCTTTTCCCATCTCAGCCCATACCAATTCTTCTGCTGTGTAACTACTTACTTGATTCCTCTACTGTTGGGACTTGTTGGACTTGGATGCTTCTCTCATTAATGTGTCCCTGTCTTCCTTCCTATCTCCACATACTTCTTTGGACTCCCTTTCTTCACCTAGAAGTCTTTGCTAATGTTCAGGTTTCTCTGGTGACCAAGCTGAAGTAACCTGTCATCAGTTCTCATTCTCTTTCCTGGTTTCTCATCCATCTCAATCTCACCCTTTGATATCTGTTCCTCAGCAGCATCAGTCTACCCCTACCCTTGCCATTCCTGCTTTTAGGCCTTCCTTTTCTTCCCATCCTCCTGCTACCCAACATCTGGTTAACTGCTTACCTAGTCTATGACTGTCCTGTTGGGTCAGGCCTTGTGAGTACCCATTTGTCTTATTTCACCTGCTCTTTCTCTCATTTTTCTAATGATAGAGGGGTTTTTCATGTTTACACCAATGCTGTCTCTTTACTTCTCTCACTCTTTCTCCTCATCTCTGTTTCTCTTCCCATTAACCCCATTTATCCTTATTGTTCTTGTGGATTTGGTTATGGATTTTATGACTAAGCACACCATTTAGAGGGTATACACCCCTCCTGGGGTTTTTTGCTGTCACATCTTGGTGCTCCCCAAGTTGACCTGGGACTGGTGTCTAGTTATCACCATATTGTCTCTCAACTGGTTTTTGATCATTCCATGATTCCAGATGGAGATTTTCCTTCCTCTTCACTGGTCTTTTTTCACCGCAGTTGTATGGGTGACCATGGTTACCAAGTCAGACACCTTTCTATATATCCTAATTACCCCATCCTCCAGATGTTTTTTCTGTTTATTCCTTTGGAATCGAGTCTTCCACTTCAACATGGTGTTGGCTCCTTATGTCTTTGATCGAGTCATGTGGCTTTCACTTGATTGCCTTCACAGACTGAGGCTGTGTTTCTATTTCTGCTTGTGTGATTGGCTTCTACTTGCCCATTCTCAGAAGATATTCTTCTTTCACACCTCCCTTCTTCTGCAGGAGGCTCTTCATCAAGGGACCTGATCCAGGGTATGCTTATTTCCCAAAATCTGCATTGGGCCAGGGGAATGGAAAGCACTAAGACCACCTGCCCTGGCTCTACCAGTTCTCAATGTCGAGATGGGGTCTTCTGCAGGACCACTACAGGTATCCTTGTGATATACAAGATTACTCAATTGCCTGATCCAGACCATACCATTCCATGGAATATCATGGAAAAAGCCAGCACCATGGAAGTGAATGCTCCCTTTTTTAGGGTTTCATGATCACCCATTGCACTGTCTCCAGTAAAAGACCTTTCTGGTAGGCATCTGATGGAGATCCGAGCAGTTACCACTGGAATGGTGAACCTTGGAGAGTTCCTCCTTTATTGGGATTAGCACAGAACAGTGAGAAGTAGGGAGGTGGTGATGCTTTCAGTGTAGTACAGGTCACCCCTCAAACAGCTAATGTGCCCCCCTCCTGCAGTCGTTGTCTGTCCAGTTGATTTGAAGTGGACACACTACATATGCTCTGATTGCACCCTAACAACACTACACTTATTGGCTTGCTGATCGCTTGTGTGCAAGTTCTCAGATGGGTCATTTTCTTATCCCTGTGACATTTGGGGCATCTTTGCCTCTCCCACTTTACATTCTGGGTGAAGAGTACACCCTGTTCGAGATAAGATGCAATCTCCAATGGGTGTACTCTATGGAGTCCCTAACTTAGCTTTATTGAAAACTGCACATACACCTGGATAAAGTGACAAATTTTGAAAAATTCTATACTAGAATACACTAAATCTGGTTGAAGTCACATGCTATTTCAACCCTAGGTGTCAATTTTTGTAACAGCTAGCTAGGATTTGGTCATGAAAATTATCTACTGTTTCATAGGACAGT